GAAAAGTCTTCGTCGAAGGCGAGGAGCCGTGACTGCGACAGGTCCATGGCCACAACCTGAGGTGAGGTGAGGCAGAGAAAGGGGAGGAAGGAAGAAGAGAAGAGAACGAGGGGGGGGATGAGCAGGGAGGAAGGGGGGAGGAAGAAGGAGGGCTGGGGAGGGGAGAGGAGGACACGATGAGAAAGAAAGAATGTAGAGGAGGAAGAGGGAGAGGGGGAGGAGTTAGGACTGTCACTTACCCTTCCCTTCTCATTTCCGATCAATCTCTTGAGAGCAGGCTGCTCCTTCACGTCTACCCAGGCGAAGGTTGTGAGTTGAGAGGACACGCCTGAGTGGAGGTCTGCGACAACGTGAGCTTCTCTTGCCACCCTCCTCCCTCTTGTCTTCATCCTCACCGACTTCCAGGGTCTCTTGACTTGCGTTACGCAGAGTCGGAATGATGTGAGGAGGAAGCGACTGCTGCGAGGAATCATGCAGGTAGACCACACAAGGTTGATGCCCGCGAACCCCTGCCCTCTTGTCAACTCCTACACATCCATCCCTCTCGTCTCCCTCCACCTCCTCGTCCCATCACCTTCTCCCTCCACTATCCCCATCCCCTCGCCCTCACCGTCACCACAGAGATCGCGGTGGTTAAAACTTGTCAGGCGAGGAATTTCAGCATACTGAAAGTGCGAGAAGATCTGCGAGGAGAAATCAAGAGAAAGAAAGAAACGTGAGAATGGGAGAGGAGAGGACGAAGGAGAGGAGAGGAGGAGAATAGAAGGGAGAACAGCAGGACCTGCTGTAGCTTCTCGTAAGTCATCCTCCTTGAGTACACCAGCGGCCTCGAGCCTTCCTCCCTCATCACCACGATCGTCGTCCCGTTCTCTACACCTGCTGATATCTAAGAGCCTCCTCCTCTTACTCCTCCTGTCTCACCGAGTAGTTTACGAAGCTTCTCTGAACCACGAGGAGCGACTTCAGCGAAGTCCATCGAGTGTTGGAAGCGAAAGGCGAAGGAGCGGAAGGCCAACCGCAACTGAGAGAAGCTAGTGAGGACGAAACAGAAGAAGGCGGAGGAGAGGAAGAGAAAAGGAGGAAGAGAAAGGGAGGAAGACAAAAGGAGGAAGACAAAAGGAGGAAGAGAAAGGGAGGAAGACAAAAGGAGGAAGACAAAAGGAGGAAGACAAAAGGAGGAAGAGAAAGGGAGGAAGACAAAAGGAGGAAGACAAAAGGAGGAAGAGAAAGGGAGGAAGACAAAAGGAGGAAGACAAAAGGAGGAAGACAAAAGGAGGAAGACAAAAGGAGGAAGACAAAGGGAGGAAGACAAAAGGAGGAAGAGAAAGGGAGGAAGTGAAAGGGAGAGGTTTGATAGAGACCTTGATCATTCCGACAGGCGCGAAGAGCAGCGCTTTAACTTTGTCGTTCCTGTCCTCTAAGAAACCCCCGGCATTGACATCAGAGATGACGGAGACCGCAGGCTCCAGGGCCTGAGAGCAAGTGAGCATGAGGAGGAGGAGAGGAGGAGGAGGAGGAGGAGAGGAGGAGGAGGAAGACAGGTACCCTTGTGAGGAAGACTGATATGTTGGCAGGCGTGGGGCTCCCGTAGAAGGTGGATCGAACTCCTTTGACATATGCGTAGATCATCGGCACTGAGTAGCAGCTGAACTTCTTCGCCAGGTTTCTCTCCTTCTCCCAGTTGAATCTCCCCACTCGCACGAACGCACTCGCCTCCTTCCCCACCTTCTCCCATGTCTCAGCTAGCTCCCAGCACTCGTCGCTCCAGTCGGCATACGCGAGGAGGAGCCAGGGGGGGCCAGCAGGGTCGAGGAGGGAGGAGGCTGTCTTGTCGGTGATGGTCTCAGTGTCGGAGGGCAGCCCGTGGTAGTCCGGGTTCTCGTTGTTGAGCCACCGGCGCTTCTTCTCGGGGTCAGACAGGATCTTGTACGCATGCGTGATGTGCTGGAAGCGCTCGACGTCTTCCTTGGACTGGTCGGGGTTCTTGTCCGGATGCAACTCGAGCGAGAGCTTGCGGTAGACTCGCTTGATCTCGGCGTCGGAGGCCGAGGAAGAGACTCCCAGCGTCTTGAAGGGATCCTCGCGATCCCGATAGTCGTTGGTGAAGTTGACGCCCTCGGAGAGGATGCGGAAGTAGACGAGGAGGAGGAGACAAGCCCCTCCTGCTAGCAGCCTCGAGTGACGAAGAAGAAATGCGATGAGGTTGGAGCTCGGAGAGCTCCTTCCACTCCTCTTGTCTCCAGAGTTATCCCCCCCCTTCTCCTTCTTCTCCTTCTTCTCCTTCTTCTCCTTGTTCACGTTGTCTACCTCCCCCTTGGGTTTTCGTTGTCGCAGCAAGTCCTGCGACTTCTGCTGCTTGTCCTGTTTGTCCTGCTGCTTGAGATCAGGTGGGCGGGGAATAGGAGTCGGCGCTTCTCGCTCCTCTTGTTTTGCTTTCACAGCAGGCTGAGAGCGTTCTCAGCACAAGAATCGTCGACCAGCTTTAGTTACCTGCAGAATGCGAACAAGGGGAGCATCCTCCTCCTCCTCTTCCTCCTCTCTCCACGATCGCTGTGACATATTTTCTATGTCACCAGCAACATCTGCGGCTTTCAATGGTATTCAGATCCTTGCCGGCTACATCGATTCTCGAGCCTTATCGTCCTTCCACTGCACCACTCCTGCCCCTCACATCCCCTGTCCCCTTCTGTCCTCTTCTCCTCCACTTCTGTTTCTCTTCCCCTGCATTCCCTCGGCCCCTCCCTCTCTCTCGGTTACATCTCCACATCTCTTGTGGCTCAGCGGTTCCCTCCCTCAACCTCTTCCTCCTCCCTTCTCTGGATATCAACTTAAGCCTCAGCCTCTGCCCTCTCGTTCCATGCCCTC